CCCCTTCCTTTCACTGTCTTTGATCTCGGCTGCAAGCTGCGCGAGCTATGCGTGAAGCCCGCGGCGCCGGAAAGGTTCGACGTGCCCCGTGATGGGCGGAGTGACGGCGGGTGGCGGAGTTAGCGATAGACTTGGGGTAAGACAGTCGGAGGGACTGAGCGGTGGTGAAGATCAGACGTCGACAGCGGCAGGACCTTCTGCCTATGGTTGTCAGTGGTTTTGACGGATTGGGGGCTGGGCCCAGGGCGGCCAGCCGTGAGAATTCTGTATACTAAGAACTTGCTTTTTCTCCATTGCTACTTTGTCCCCATGTGATGTGTGCAAGGTCCTGACGTGTGGATAGTCCGTTGTATGCATTCTCAGTTATGGAAGTCTATGGATGTTGAATATCTCATTGTTCAGGACTCCGAGGGCTCTATGAGTAGGCATGTGTGTATGCGCCCCCAGGCCTGATGATAGGAAGTACCGAGTGTCGATTGCTTGCATGAGTGCATCAGTGTGTTGGTCCTTCTTCCCCTCCTTCACCCTTAACCCGCACAGGTGTGTGGGATACATACCAACCTCCTTTCGCTCTCCCTCTCCCTCTTCCTCATTGCGCACAGATAGGGACCCCGAGGGAAACGGATAATTCCGGAGAGATCGGTCGCTCCCGTCTCCGCAAAGCGGCTGGCATCTCCGCGCCCACCCTGGATCCCCGACGCCGTGTTCGGGCTGATGCCCACAGAGAGAGAGATAGAGGGAAAGAGAGTGGCGCTTCCGTTTTTTTGGTAGTATTCGTTGATCTTTGCGTGGAGTCAGGTCTCGTCCCGGCGAACGGGAGTGCGGGCCGTGGCCCGAGCTCGGAGTTTGTCTCCGTACGTCGCAGCGAGCTTCCGCCCTTCCCAATCGCAGATGACGATAGCGTGTACTGCGATGCGGACGTGCAGAGCACACTGCAGCGCACTGAGCCAATCCATCTGTACAACCCAACCTGGGCGTGCCACATATTAGGAGGGAGTGCGTTTGTGCTGATTGAGTGGTTTTCTTCCCCTCCCTTACTCCTGCCCTACACAGACCTCACGGTGTTGCCCTGGTCAGCCGCGCACGCAACGTGTCGGCCTCGGTTTAATTGCCATTGGTGTCGCCAGGGAGACTCGTGGTCGTTGCGACAATTAGTCCTGGGGTACGAAGGGGCCGCCCGACTCCCCGAACTTTCCCACAACGCGGGCGCGCTCCCGGCCCATTTTCGAACTTGGGTTCCCTCGACCTGCCCAACCCTGGGCAACCCCATGCCGTGCCACCTGCACAGGCTCGACGAGTCGGACACAGAAGCCTGAAACCCGATTCCGGGGCCTCTGCCCCCGAAGGCCACGCGAACCAGGCGCCTCGGGGAACGGAACCCAGTTCTCCGTCGGTTTCTTTTCTCTTCCCTCTCTTCTCGTTTTTCTTTGTGTGACGATGGTCGTGCCAGAAGGCACCGTTCTTAAGTTATTCGCCCCCGGCGACAGCTCAAACCCCTGTCTAGGCACCTCGGCCTGAAGCAAGAACCCCCGTTTCGCCCGGGCGATTCAACCCCCACGGCCCAAATCCTCGGCCACACCCGAAACCACTCTGGTCGGCATCCCACGTACGGAACGCCGCGTGGGGGGTGAGGTTGGCGCATCACAGGCCAGCTCCCGCGGACACATCCTACCGTCCTTCCCCTAGCTTACCCAAAGCTAGGCCGAACTCAGACTAGCCGGAGCGACTTATATCCCTATCCTACCCTAGAGCTAAGCCATGCGTGAGTAGACCCCGTCATATACCTGATAGACCTCCCCAGCCCAGTATCGTAGTTGTGTGTATGTGAGTGTGCCCTGAGGCTATGTATGCTTGTATAAGCCCATAAAGCCTTGTTTTCTGTGTCTGCCCGAAGGCTATGTGTGCTCTGTGTAACTATATAGCGAGATACATGTGCCCGAAGGCCAGCTATGTGCAGTGCTATGTAGAGGGAACTACGTGTTTGTTTGAAGAGATGACAGGCCAAGCTGGACAATAACCCCCCCCCAAGTCCCGAGCCAGACTCGAACCCGTGATCCATGACATGTGACCTGAAGACTCTACCATTTGATCGACAGTCGCAAATGGCCCCTGTGTGTGATATGCCAGACTGGGGAGATCAACAGAACAACCTCGAGCAACAACCACGAGCAGCAGCCACAAGCAACCCACGCAGTACTATCAACACCCAACATACAACACCATGGACAGCCCCTTGGGTGGTGCGTAGGCAGTGTCTGTATAAGCTTACCGTGCGTCAGCCCGTGCACCATTCTAATGCCCTGCCGCTGTCCATGCACAAGGCTGCGGATTTGAACCCGCAACCTCATACCACAATGCACATTTCCAACGGGTGCTCTAACCACTGGGCTACATCAACTGGACTGCAGCCCTCAATCTTGGGGGATTCCCTTATCATTCATGGGGTTGAAGGTTACCTAAGCCACAATTTCCAAAAACAGTACTATCAACACCCAACATACAACACCATGGACAGCTCCTTGGGTGGTGCGCAGGCAGTGTCTGTATAAGCTTACCGTGCGTCAGCCCCGTGCACCATTCTAATGCCCTGCCGCTGTCCATGCACAAGGCTGCGAATTTAAACCCGCAACCTCATACCACAATGCACATTTCCAACGGGTGCTCTAAGCACTGGGATACATCAACTGGACTGCAGCCCTCAATCTTGGGGATTCCCTTATCATTCATGGGGTTGAAGGTTACCTAAACCACAATTTCCAAAAACAAAGGGGAAAAAAAAAACAACAATAATTTTCCTGGAGAAAAGAAAACAAAGACCAAAAAGGCAAGAGGGGCAAGGCGTATAAGACTAGTTTTTATAGTATGTTCTGGCGCCTTAGGGTGAAGAGGTTCTTATAGGCGCGTTGAGCCAAATCAGGATTTATAGGACTATGCAAGTCGGGTGGTCCTTTCTGAACTGTTATCTATGTATGGGACGCTGGACCCGGTTTCCAGCAGGTGCAGCTTCCCACGAATAGAACGGAGCCATCGAACAAAAGCCACCTTCTATCTCCTGGGGCTCTTACCACCCAGCAGGCAGAAGGCTCGCTACGGAACAATGATTGAAGGGGGGGGGGGGCAAAAAAAAAAAACAAAAAAAAAACAGTGATTCAGTGAGAACGTGCCTAAATGTGTATTATGGCACAAGTGGGTAGCAGCGAACCCCACTTGTCAGCCATTGTTAACCCCCCCAGCACAGAAAAGTGCATTTGGGGATAAATTTTCAGCCTTTTTTTCCCCTGAAAACTGAAAAGAGCGAATTTTGCACGAAAACACACGTTTGCCTTGGGGTTTAAGGCCCCTTTGATCCATTTTTTAACTTCAACTTTTTTTTTTTTGCTGTTGGCTTATTTGGTGTCCACTCTATGGACTGGTGACAAGTCTGGCTTAAGAACATAGTAAGTGTTTAAATTCTCTGAAGTTTTTAAATGCTTTCTGTCATCTTTGTTGAACTATTATTATTTCAATTATAGTACATTGTACACCGGCTGCCACTACTCTTCACTCGCGAGGCATGACAAGGGTAGGTGTTTGTGCACCTTGCCGTTCTTTTCAATGACATGTATAATGTATTTATACTGCGAAGGCACCTGCGCTCTGGACAATGACAAGGGCATTCAGAAGTCCTACGAAGGCACCTGCGCTGCTGGAGTGACGAGCAACTTGTAGTATTGTACGTCAACTCTCCCTCGTCTGACTACCATGGCTAGATGAGTAGCTGTCCACCGGTCACTCTTTCCCCTCGCTAACTCTCTCTCTCTCTCTCTCTCTCTCTCTCTCTCTCTCTCTCTCTCTCTCTCTCTCTCTCTCTCTCTC